ATAATAATAATAATAATAATAATAATAATAATAATAATAATAATAATAATGGGACATCTTTAAATACAATTATTTTCTAACTTTTTTTAACTCTTCATTGAAATGCAAATGTAAGCTATAGAATAAGAAGACCATTTCAAATGCAATTATTCATCATTCTATGATCCAGAAATGTCTTTTTTGTCCATTTTTTTCATTATTGCAAGATAAGTTTGTATATTTACAAATTTTTGTTGTAATTTATACATCTATAAAATTCTTATAATGGTATGTACTGAAAAATAACCATGATCCCAAAGATGGGCCCAGTACCTCTGATAAAACAAGTGTTGTACTATACTAATCACTCGTACTGATTCTCTCAACATATTCAGCAGACACAGAATTTAAGTCATGGATTTGGACTTCCACTGCATTATTATTTATCTTTAAGATAACTACAGGAAGGCGTATGCAAGGCAGGCATGAATAAATCACACACGTACTGTGGTTATTTTCCTACAATGCTGCTCTGAGAGGAAGAGCAGCAGGATGTGTATGTGTGTACGTGAGGCTACACTTGTTTGATATCCAAAATAGAAAAGTCTTTGAGGTAGAGGGGTGATGTAAATATTCTCATCATGAAAAAGGACCACGGAACAAGAAAAACAGTAGTATACAGGGAGCCCTGACTCAAAATCCAATTGAGGTCACCCACCCCAGTCTGTTAGGCTCTGGGGCTGGGAACTTTATCACACCAACCATGCAGTCTCATAAAAAAAGATTGTTAAGATTGATCCTTGGCTAAGAATCAAGGATCAAATGGTTTTGCAGATTTTTATTTGTGCACTTTGCTTTTATGTCCGTCGGCCACTTTCAGGCACATTTTATTTAGGTTGGTGCTCTGACAGGTACTCAATAGGGACCCGTCAGTTTATGACTGGCCAGTGAGCAGTAATGAACAGAGCCAAAATTTCATTGGACATAAAGTCATTTTAAACTGTTCCATTGGTAAATGTTTCTGTGACAGTTTAAAAAATCAACAAGACTATCAGATTTCTTAGTCATCACGTGAAAACTATTCCAACCCACTTAATCTAACCATGATACGTTATTTTATCATTCAAAAGCAACTTAGTGATTATTTCATGCCATTCTGTTATTGATATTTGAACACATTAGGCAGTGTCTGAATACTAACAGTTTATGTAGTGCTTTCTCTCACAGGCCACCCCAGTTCTCTCTTGCCTCCCATTTTACTCAACAGAAGATGCAATGGAGCTATCTTGTTCAAATGAAACAGCAGAATGGATGCCAAATGCCTCCACCAGGGCACCTGGCATGGTGCTAGCAGCCTGCTCCAAAAAGTATTAAGTTATAGCTGCGCGCTGCACTTTTCAAACAGAGCCTCTGACTCAAAATGAAAAAGGTAAATAGCGTCTGCCTAGCACTGCTGTTGTTCAGGTATGATCCAGATTGATACAAGACACAAGCAGATGGGTAAAGAGCAGAAAGCCATTCAGAGGGATGGCAGTCATAGCTCTGATGGAGTGGGAGAATGAAAGGCAGCAGGGAGGAAAGGGGAGGCAGCAGGGAGTCGAGCATGATGAGTTTATGAGTCATATTATTGACTGGCAACCATGCTGTGCCGATTGTGGTAATCGGTTTTCCTTGGGAGCAGAGTAGACTCTGGGCTTCACTGGAACTCTTCATTGAGTTTTATTTCAGAAGCCGGCAGCTGGCTTGTGCATTGAGAATTGACTGATTGTTCACTTGAAGGGTGTGGGTGTGTATTTGCATGTTTATTTGTATATAGTCAATTACAGCAATGACCAGCAAATTTGACAAATGAAATCTGACTGTTTGGCTATAGAGTCAAAGAGGGATGAGTGTGCTTTGCTGGAAACTAGTATTTAAAAGGAGCTGATGCTTCTAAAATGTTTCTGCTGCAGGGGGAATAGATGGAAGCTGTAAAAGTTGGATGAAAGAAGCTGGCATTGTAGAATGGAAATTGTAGCAAATAGTTATTGCTTTGTTATCCTTACTCTCTGACACTATCCTTTATGCACTCTATATTCTTATGAACCATCTGTCTTTCTATTTTCTTTGCCCTGTCTCAGCCCCTCGTCCTTACACAGTCTTCTGTGGAACTAGCCAGTGAGATGTTCTGCATTCTCAGTTCACTGTATTCCCGTGAACTCCCCTCCATGTCTCAGACCTGAGGCCTGGTAAAACCATTTGCAACTGCTGCTTATGAAAGTTATTATAGACTTCCCGTCATACTCATAAAGTAAGGAGCTGTGGATTTATGATCTCATTTAACTCTGCTGCTCCAGGGCCCATCTAATGAAACACCAGAGGAAATGTATGTTCCAAGTTGACACTGATACCTTCAGTGAAAAGGTCTAAAGGATAATGCCATTGAACTTTGCTTAAGATTAGCTAAATAAAGAATCTGGGTGTTCCTGTCTGAAAAAACATTTGCAGATGACGGCACAACGCGGTGGGTCAGTTTTCACCATTTTAATTGCAATTGCTCACATTGCAAACTACCAACGGTGTGAAATTCAATCTTGTTTTCTGCAGCAGAAATTAGACAGAAGCTGAAGTGCATCTCTTCTTCATCCAACTCAGCTGGAATTCACCTGAAACTGACAATCAGGATGTGAACTGGATGGCATTACAGGGTTTTTCTTGCCTCTAAGTCAGCCTTTTTAAAACCACAATGCCTCATTTTTACCTATGAGTATATACAGTTTTTTCAACTTAACCTGGTTTTCTATGGGGATGATGGTTGGAGGATGCTGGCGTCTGTCTGTGAGCTTTTTTATGACAATGTTTTGAAATGTAAAGTTCCAAGAGGGAACCCTAAAACTAGGGAGCCAGAAATCTTTGAGGATTTATTTTCTTATGAAAGCAAAAACTAAATTGATTTTCCATTACTCTTATCCTCCGTGGCTTCCTGTTGTTTTATTGCTGATGTCTTCTTTAATGGGCTTTTGCACAGCAGCCTCGTGACAGCTTCAAATCTGACACTTAGACAGTCCGTGTTATCCCTCACCTCTAATGGATAGATTTATGCACTAAACTCCTCGTCTCTGCTGAAATTGTTGTCCGTGACTTGGATGAGACCTCCAAACCTGAAATGCTCAAGTGAGCTACCATTCCTGACGTGATGATGACACCTTTTGTTACATGTGTCGTCGCTGCCACTCAACACACAGTTTGCAAACATTGTTCATGTTCCAGCTCACTTTGCATATTTTGAACATATTTTTCAGCAACATTAAATATTGAAAAAACATGTTTTTCCAACATTAATTAAGTCCTTTAGAGTGTGCTTGGAATTTGAATCTTTTAAATGAACTCAGACCTGTTCACCACAGCGCTTTGAAGACTGAATGAAATGGACCAGCTATTCAAATAAAATTAAGGTTTTTCTTTGCTGAGCAACAATTTTGCCTGTGAGAATAGATAAAAAGATCTACTTTGGATTCAACTATAAAGCAGGAAGGGACAAAGCTGCATTTGCATTTTATAACTATCTCCCTCTTACTTTTCTGACTGCCACTATGATGAGAATAGGAAAGTTAAAGCAGAATGAATAGGTGGGTGGTAATGAAGTTGGTACAGATTCAAATAAGCTCTTAATTTCAGACCAGCATTTATGAAACATTAATGCAGCGAGGAGAAGATGTGAAACCAGCCGGAGAAAAGCAGAGGAAGAGCCCAGCATGAGTTTAAATATGTTGGCAAGCGACGCATCTGATAATGGAGCTGACATGTCTCCCGTTATTACTATGTTGATTTGTGCTATGTTCATTTTTCTTTTTCTTTTTTTAAAACTTCTCTGCCAAACACGAATGTAACATATCGGTTTATGAGGAAAGTCACTGTGACACAAGCTGCAGTTCACTTTGAAGATGATAGCAATATGAAAAATTCATGCATAATTCTTTATCCACTCACATGATTCTTTCTAAATCTAAACTGAATATTGGGTGTGTAGGCTGACAGCCCCACATGCATGCATACATGAGCTTATTCTTTTTACTGAAATCAGCCTCAGGTGTTTCTATAGTTTGAGTGTGGCGCAGCCCCCCACCTGTTAACACTGCAGGATACCATCTGTAATGAGAAGCTATAGTGCCTGCTGTGCCTCAAGATCCACGATCCACTTTCATATGCACATCAACAGGATTAAAGCATCAATTAAACATGGCCTGCAGTTCTGCAGTGAGTATGCCTTACAACCCGAGGAATTTCCAAACAAAGCCAACAATTGCTCATCAGTATGACACAATTACTGTTTTTCTCCCACTACCTTTGTGGGGACTCTTTCTGAGTTTGGCTTTTTCTAATCGCCCATTCATCAGAACTGCATGAGTTACTATATTTTCACCTCATTTTAAACCCAAACCACTAATAAAAATCTTAATATCCCGTACCTACGTTTTGCAGTCGATATCTATTTTCAATCATTCAACCTAATACCAAATTTTGCATATGCAACTTGCTTAGAATATATTAATGTCAAAATGGATTTAAATTAAGAATACTTTATTTTCTTCAGCGTTTTAGTGTAATAGAAGTGGAGTGTTTCTGCTCTTCAGCACTTGAATTGAAGGGCTTTGTTTTGTTTACAAATTTATCCAAGTGAACGGTAAACTTCAACTTGTCTGAAGAGTATTTTTTCCTGTGTCGAACAGTAATAAATAGATAAAAATGATTACATTTACAACATGTGCTCCTAATGTAAACAGTTTACAAAGAAACCAAGCAAATTCTTTAGTCATAACAAATCAATGCTGTACGTAAACCTTGTGGGTCTTAACCCCCCGGAGTTTAGACCAAACAAATTCAGTGGAAAAAAATGGAAAAATTACAAATGATTATTGATGGTTAGGTAGACTAACAAGAAAAGCCCTCTCCATGGCCCTCCAGCAACTAGCAGAGTTAAAGATAACATCATATACAGTCAAAAGACAGAGAGGATTCTGTGTTAGGAGACCGTTCCTTTTTGTCTCCTCAAATTTCAGTTGTGGCTTCTTTAGCATATGTTTTATATCCACCTGATCCACCTTCTGTTGCTTGATCTCCACGAAGAGAGATGTATGAACAGCATCTTTTCTGATGGTAAAAGAACCTGTGCAAATGGACTGAAAGACTGTGTATGGATTTACAAATGTTCCCCTGTACTGAAAATAGAGCAGTGAGTGTTTCACTTTTGAGCAAAAACTTTTCACATCAAGTCATTCATGTGGAGATTTGACATTCAGTCAATCTGACATATCGCTCGTGTTTATGCAATTTTGCATACATTAAATATTCCTTCCAACTTAATTTGATTAGATTTAGAATCAATTATTCATAAAATGCCACAAATCTACTTTAAATGTGTTAACTATATTGAAAGAGGTAAAGTATGAGTGATATTACATGTCTAGTGCCTGTGTTAGAGTGTGCACAGTATACATACAGTCTAGTTTCCAGAGTTCAATTAAAAATATGACAGGTTTAAGATTCACTCACACTTAGAGGCTGAGGGAGGAAGAGGGGAACATTGTGAGAGCAGGCCCAGAGAGATAAAGAGTGGTAGGAGTATCAGGGGACTGGCAGAAGTGACTAGATGTGACAGTGAGCACATTGGCTTGCACGATGGTTGCTGCTTTACACTCCAAACACACAGCACCCCTATCCCCCAAGACAGTTTAATCTGATCCCAAACCCAAGGAGGTGAGGGCACAGCACAATAAAAAGAAGGTGAGGCAACTGCGGGGCCTTATTTCTCAGCTTTCCTTCTCACTTCATTAAATTGGCCTTTTATATCATCTTTAAAACTGTTGTGAGTTCCCTCTCGAATGTTTTTGCTTAATTTGTGACTGTGAGCAATAAAGTTCAGCATGACAGAATGATTAGCAAGGCCAAGCTTTGCGTAAACTGTGTATTTTATACGTGTGTGCTTGAAAACACACATCACTTTTTCTGATTAGATTAGTCAGAGAGATTCACCCTTCCTTTTAGCCTCAGCCTTCCTTCACTGGTAAGGGGCTGCTTTATTGATCCTGAACAGCTTAATTTCCTTTCTCTGTCTAAATATATTAGATACTAACCTTTCGCATATGTCCAGAGAGAACCCTCCTTTTTCTACTTTTTTTGAAAGCCCCCTTATTTCTTCCATTTGTCTTTGTCTTGGCCAGCCATTAAGCTCCCCTCCTATATCGTTTTTTCTTGTATTTTCTGTCCCATTTTTTTCCCACCAGCATGCTTTTCTTATCTTCATCTACAACCAGTCCTGCTTTCCCAGCTCCTACATCTTCTGTGTAACTCTCCTGGCTCATTTAGACAATTCTTAACTGCTTTTGACAGTTTCTGCCTTTTTCTTTCTTTTTTTCTCTCCAGTTAAAAGTGAAATTACTCTATAAGTGATTCTGAATTGCGGTTGGAATTAGTCGCCATTTTATTGTCATCTTTTACAAAAGATTTTTTTGACAGATTTTCACAGGGAAAAATACTAACCAGCTTACACATGGTGACAGAATGAGCACAAATAATCATGGTATGGAAAGTATCAAAGGGGACTGCTATCCTTCAAGTATTTTCTTCAACACTTAGGTTTTTGGGGGAATTTATGGGCTTGGAAATGTTTTAGAAGCCCGGAACATTGTTCTGATTACTGCTGATGTGTGCTGGCAGAATAAAACATTGTGTCTGGTCTTATGCATTTTGAAAAGCCTGCTCTGTGGCAGCATAGATAAACAACAGCAGACAGAAACAACCATTTTTTCTGGGATTTGACTCATACTTGTCTCTATATTCTTTTGCAGGCTCTTTACCCGAGCCCAGAGGAAGGCTGGCAAATCTACAGTTCAGCACAGGACGCAGATGGGAAGTGTATCTGCACCGTGGTTGCACCGGCCCAGAACATGTGTAACCGCGACCCACGCAGCAGACAACTTCGCCAGCTCATGGAGAAGGTGACAGCTGTCAATAGCACACCCACGTTGAGACTCAACCGTTACCCACACAGACACACAAAGTACCATGCTGTGTCTGGCAGCGGCCATCACACGCAGGCTGCTCAAGTGAACAGTTATGCTTTTCACCTTAACTGGTCAGCCATGAAGACAAACATGACACTACTTGGAAGTTTTTGAAGTTCTTAAGAAGAAGTAAAAGAATTAATGGTCTGAGCAAGAAAAAGATCTTTAAATTTTAAAGCATGAAACTGAATTAAGTGAACCTCTGCATTTCTGTATTTGTTTAACTGCACAAACTCAGTAGATAAAAATAAAGGAAAAAGCATTTTTACAGATAGGTGTGGTGAAAGAGGTTTTTGGCAGCATAAAGCAGTCCGTATGCGATAAGACTACAAAGCTCACTATACTTTCTTTTTGTGTATCTTGTCGATCAACTATCATTTTTGTGCATCCTTGTGTCTTGTGGGACAAAAATGTGATGATGTATTACCAGCCCGTAGAGCAGTGTATGCAAATATGATATTCTGCTAGTGATGGATTCAGTGACAAATAGATGCAAGGTGGAGAGCAGTTGTTAAGGATCTCTGCACACAAACTATCAACAGCTGCCTATTGATTATGCAGATCTGGGGAACATACAGCTCTGCCATTTCATTTGTCCCATACTGCCCACGGAGCAGCGCTGGCTTTAATTTGCTTGATGGGTCATGATTCATTGAGCCACAAAGTTGTGTTCTCATCTCTACAGCTTGATTCAAGCTCATTAAATACATAAGAAAGTTTAAGCCTGTGCGTAGGCTTGGGCAGAAAAAACAACAATCAGATCAGGGGTTGGGTCAAAGCAAAAACATTCACAGTATAAACTTCAAGTCCCAAAGCAGGTGCTGTACTGCACATACATCACGCATACATGCTACTTGGTCATTTTTCTTTTCACTCTGAAGCACTTTAAAAAAACTGTTCAAATTTTAATCTTAGACTTTATTTTATTACACCATTCATGTTGGCCAAAAATTGGCCATGGATGTAATAAAATACTTCAAATAATTCATTTATTGTTGTACTAAAGCTTATTGTACAAAACATATACCTTTACTGCCTATAGTTGCATCCTCTTTAAACGCCCCATTTTTGCTCATTTTTAAATCAGCCTAATGAGGACACCTGGGTGCAGTTCTATTTAGGCAGCACGCAGGTGAAGGCACGTACTGAAAAAGTGTAGGAGCCTCTTTCTGAGTCCACATAATAGATCAGTGCAAACCAGAGCATCCTCATTCAAACCCAGGGCATGTGTAAGAAGGTTTGGAGGAATCCAGATCCACAAAAGTGCTCTTCTGGACAGAATGCCAAGGGTGCTTCAACAATGTCAAAACTGTGCCTGGTTTAAAGAATGTAAAGTAGCCTTGAGCAAAAAACAGTGTTTGTAAAGTCTTTTTTTTTGCCTGTAAAGTCAGACAAAAAAAATGCAATCCAAAGCAGAGATGGCCCTGAAGGATGGCAATGCATGATCACTCACCACAGACTTCTCATCATCATCTCATCATCTTTTGACCTCTGTCTGATTGATGAAGCTCAGATTATCTCAAATAAGATAAGTGTATGAGGGCACAGTCTGACACAAACACAAACGTACTTGATGCACAATGAGTCATCACTCTAGACATGATGCAGAGGAACCAGTGACTGAATGTAGATTTAGGATTGTGACTGTCAGGACAAGGAGCCCTCCCAACTGTCCTGAAGGATGGTGACAGCATTTGTTTAGACCCCAGGCTGCTGTAACATTTTACTCTTAAACGTCCCTGAATCTATTCCACATGCACTGCAGTGAAATGTTTACAGCGGTAGGGGAATTATTCTGGGACAAAATAGTCCCCAACCAGTTCACGATGCGTGTGGGAGATGAGCAGGGTGTGGAAAGTAGTGGGTTGGACATGAAATAACCGAGTGGGCTGTCAGGGAGGAGGCAAGCACAGCATTTGGTGCAAAACAGACTTTGTGCCAAAATGTGACCTTTGAGAGTTAGGTCTGTTGTGTTGATTATGTATATCTTGTGTGCCTAGAGTTGTGTGTGTGTTGGTATGGACAGGCGCCTGTTGATGTGGGTGGAAGACATATGCACACATGATGCCGGCTCCTTCATGAGTGACAGCCACATTGTTGGTATTAGGGAGATTTCTGGCCCGTTTCAGTGCAGCGTGCAGAAGATGAGGAGGTGTGTAAAGCAGTAGGTTTGTTATGCAGCAACAGAGTGGGCTGTCAAAGTATGAATAAGCTTAGTACTTAGAAAAAAATAAATATAGTGCAAATCTGATTCCTCTGAGAACTGAGATTCAATAAACGCCTACTGTGCAGCGTGTTTGCTCATCCGCAAGGTTCATTCTGTTCCATTTTGGTAACCCATAACTTGTTGAAACAATTGTACAAATGGGAGCATAATACTTTGTTTTCGCAGCTGCATAGTTATCCTCTGTCCACCAACTCTGAACCTTTCACTTTTATTGTATATCAGTACTGTCTTGTCATGAAGCCTAGTGAAAATAGAAAAAAACACTGAGGTTTTGCAAGGCCTCGTGCTTTTATTAATACCGACAAAATGCTGTAAGTATCACCTATTCAAGTGAGATATGACAGGCACAGTGGCTATGAGCAGCTTTTTAAACCACAGGTCTTTCACAGAATAACATGTCACAACACCTTTTGGATTTCTTGGTTAGGTACAGGCATTAGCAGGAACAAATCATTGTTAGGTTAAAAAATCTATTTTTACAAAACTACAATGACCCCTGTGGCCAGTTAGGTAGTGGCCGTGATTAGAGATAACCATATTACAGCAAGCTGTCACCTTTTGCTGGATGGCTTTTGAAAATTAGATCAAAACATTCCCATATGTCGTAGACAACATTTATATTCTTCACTTCATAGACCTATATGATATATTATATAGACTATTAGCTGTATATTATTTCAACAAAACTAAAATGTTGCCTGTCTGCATGAGGAACCTCTACATAGAAGTTTCTTTGCAAAGTTAAACTTTATCCAACAGGCGTGCCAAACAAGTTCCTACCCTTCTATCACTCAGTTGAATAAACAACACTTATCATCTTACCTGAATTGCATTTGCTCAATCCATTACCTCTGAGCTGATACATTTATGCCTATCAAGGTAATAGGTCTATCCACAATTAAAATAATCATGGATGACTAAATCTTTCAACTGATTCAAAGCAATACCAATGAAGGTTTGGGCACATTAGACTTTGCATTAGACTTTGCACATGAAAACATTTTAATTTACTGTTTGTTTGTAATGTTTTTTCCACGTCTGGATATATAAATATCGTCATTGTGCCCATCTTCTAAGACTTTTATATCATTGTCAGTCAGGAGTGGATTGTTGTTAGAAACATTAGGGAAACCCTTTCTCAGATTTTTCATTTTTCCTTTTTTTCTTTCTAAACTAATATTATAAACTTTTCAAATGCTTTCCATCCCAAGCATACAGAAAAGCTTATACTTGGTCTTTAGTCAGCTCCCAGATATGAGCTGCAAGCTTTAACAGAAGTGTTGTCATGATTTACGGTGTGATCAGCTTTCATTGTGGATCAACTGTTTTTTTTCCATTTGTTTCTATTAATGGATGTGTCTAAGATTGTGTAAATATATTCAGAAGCTTGACACATTCTTGTCTCATGCCAAAGCTATTTGTTATTCACATCAACAGATACATGAGGCTTTCGAGGTGGAGCTATTTGGTAAATATGTTGCTCATCCACATCCAAATTTCATATTTAGACCTTTGAAAAGCTCCGACTGCATATCTTGATGCATTCGTTCTTTGACTCAGTGTCTTAAATCATGGATCTAAGTATTGATTTAAAATGCAACAGAGGTGCAGCCAATGAGCACACCAGAAGCTGCTGAGAATAGGGTGAAGTGATGTAAACGGTGTGGCTATTCAGATGTAAGAGCACCAAAGAAATCCCCAGAAACCTAGAACACATATCCTTCCATTTCGTCATCCCCCGCTGCTTTTATAAAACCTGCATGATGTCTCCTGTTTTCTTTTCTTTTTCAACTGCTTCTTAAAGTCACAGCGTTAATATTGTTGTTCAAATCTATCGTTTCTGTGTATTACATTTAATAAATGTCCATTTACCCATAACATAACCAGGGCTTAATTTATTCCATTCCTCTCCTTCATACAAATAGAAAAGATTTCTATTAAACATAGCTCTCATCAGTATACTATTTAGGGCATACTTTGGGGGTTCACTTAATGTATTACTCAAATGTTTTAAACTTATTTAACTTAGGTTTTAAAAGTATCTTAGATCTCTGTTTTTTCTGGAACTGATGCAATTTAATTCACTTACCTACATTGAATTTAACTTTCACCCTAGGATTTTAGCTGGCAAAAAGCATGACGCCACAAAAAAATGTAATAATGTTTATAAAAGTTTAATTAGTTTTCATTTTAAAAGGAAAAGGAAATACACATTTTAATTTTTAGTTTGACTCTTCATGAAAATAAAACTCTCTAAGTGCAACAAAACGTTAAAAGCAAAAACAAAATATATACTCCAAGAAGATTCAGCATCAAATCTTCTAAGTGCTTTTCTTCAAACGAGAATACCTTTTATTAGTGGGCCCACGCACACACTTTCCAATATTGTCCTCTACAGCTGCCAGACTAATTCAAACAAAACCTGCATTCCTGTTTTTGTGCAACCCAAATTTAATGACCACATTGCTACTGAGCGAGCAAAAGAAAACATTTGGCACCCAGGTTACAGATCCAGACTTCATCACCTCCACTGCCACCATCCCTTCTCCAATGTAGCCACAGGTTCTGGTCCTGGTCGCTCCTAGCTCTGTAAATCAGCATCTTTACAGTTCTGGAAATAGCTTCATGCCCTCCATAGTTCAACAGAGGGAGTTGAACTCAAACTCGCCATAATGTCTGTTCATGGGTAATGGACAGACTCAGAGCTATGCTCCGGGCCTTTTAACATCAGCACACAGCTCAAGCAGTCCATGAATTTCTTATTGAAATAAATCCCACTTCCACAGTATGCAGCTCGCCCTTTCAGGGACTGTTGTGCAAACATTCTTCCAACACAGCTACGTACGCTCTGGTTTGTGCACACTGCAAATCACATCACTTCCCTGTATCACACACTCCCTTTTTAAATCAATCACACTGCCCTAGGCAAGCCATTAATTTGTATCTAACATTTTTTTTCAGGATTTTGATGATTATACTTTGGAATCAACCCACCAATTATGTCTGAGTACAACATGAATTTTCATTTGTGTTATCAAATATGAAGATTATGTGAAGTAAGATATTACAGAGTGGAGGAACTTATTCCTGAAGAGCTGTGACTATTTGCAGCAAGCAAACAGATATAAACACAAAGACAAATCCTAAGACTACACACAGACATGCAGTTTTCTGTCATGATAGTATAAAATCCCCAACTGAGAACTCACCCGTGATGTTAGGGTAAAGAACACTCCACGGCTTTTGCTCATGAATATTAGTTTTTTTCACTCTCTTTGAATGATAGTCAACTTAATAGTAGTCAGCTGTATAGTAAAGCTCAAATAGCTTACATAAAATGGTGCCTGCATACTCTGGGAATAATTTTTAAATCATCCTAATAGTTCTTTTAAGACTAAACTTAATGCATTTTGCCTGTGTTTTCTTTATAGGTTCAAAACATTAGTCAGTCAATGGAGGTACTGGACCTGCGGACCTACAGAGATCTACAGTATGTAAGGAACACAGAGAGCTTAATGAAAGTGGTCGATGGGAAACTGAAGGTGGCCTCTGAAAATCCCCGCAGCTTAAATCCAAAGGGCTTTCAGGTAATTGGCTGTGTGTCAGGTCCTGGATGTTAAAGTATGTTCTATTATACTCCAGTGAATGTACAAGCCGTTGATGTCAAATTCATTGTGAAACGTTATCATATATAAATCTTTTTTGCTCTTCACAGACAATAAGATTTTGTATGACTCTCAATAGACTACTGCATAAACATTGATACACAAACTAAATTGCAGTGCTCCATCTGCGTTATTGGGTCCCATGCAGAGGTGGGTTAATCTGAGCAAACTCACATTATACTGAATTATTAAAGCAGTGACAAAGCAGGAGAGTGTCTCTATTTTTCTGTTGTACCCAGCTTCTCTTATTATACCATATACTTAACATTCTGGCTCTTGCTCTTCAATTGAGGGCACATATATTCATATTTATAGCTACCTTATCTCTATAGGAGTGAAGGGTTAGCTGCCATTATCAGTGGGCCTTTTTGTCTTCCTGTCATCAAGCTGTCTCACTCAAGCTTTCTCCACATTTCTCATTCTCTTACAGATATGAGATGGGCCATAAAATAGTTTGATTAAAAGATGCCCTGATAAATGCTAAGTGTGCATTTCCACTGGGCCCGTGTTTCAAGACAAGCATGAATGGCTGTGTTTGGCTTTCAGTGCGTTTTATGAATGCCATGCCAATAAAGGAAATGAAGATGTCTCTGAAATTAATCAGTTAACCAGTAAAGCTTGAGATAACTCAAATATGCAGAACTGAAAGGGCTATTTTACTGGCTTCGTCAGATAAAAAAGATCAGATATGTCTTTCTTTAAAAAGTAAAAAAAAAAAAAATTGACCATAGTAGATTGCTGATAAATGTGTGCTGCTTAAAGTTGCCAGCGGCAGAATGTGGGAGATTAACGAGAGCAAATTTTCACTGCTTGAAAAAGTGAATATTAGATTTATGATGTGGCGCCATGGGGCAGAGAGCTGCTCCATCACAAATTTACGATAAACCCTAACAAGGAGGAAACGGCCCCTCCTGTGGTGGCACTTTATTAATACACCAATTTCTCTTTTGAGTCATCTGGCTTCCTCTTGTCAGTCTGCCTTCCATGCTACGCCTTGCACTTCTACTTAAAGAAACATTTTCTATCAGGAAAGTGTCTCCTTAATTTAGACTGAACTGAGTCAAGCTAAACACAGTGAAACAGTTTGACCACACTGACAGCAATATCCTAAATAATGGGCCTTCCAGATGATACAATTGTAAAAGGAAATAGATATGTCCAGTCATGTAATAAATACAAACTAAATAAAGACTAAAGATATCAGTAACTTTAGAAAATGTCTTTTCAGAAAGAGTGCATTTATATCATAATCTTATTGAAGCATGATAATAAAATCTCAGAGGTTATATGAGAATGGGGCAAATCAATGAAAAGAGAAATATGAATAATTACCATGAGCGTACAACTGACATGTGCCAGAGATTAAAATAAAATATTCTCATTTGTGTAATCTTCCTTACTAACTACTGGCAACCTAATCTCCTGTCCTCATTATTCACTGCTTCTCCATTCCCCCTTTTCTGCAATAGGAGTTGAAAGACAAGGTGACCCAGTTACTTCCCTTGTTGCCAGTGTTGGAACAATACAAGGCTGACGCAAAGATGATCCTGCGACTTCGGGAAGAAGTGCGAAATCTATCCTTGGTGCTCATGGCCATCCAAGAGGAGATGGGAGCCTATGACTATGAGGAGTTGCGCCAGAGAGTGCTGCTCCTGGAGACCAGGCTCCACTCCTGCATGCAGAAACTAGGTACGGAATATGTGCAAACTGGTCTGCAGGTATCTTAGATTAAAACACTTCATCCATAAAATATCACAAGAATGAACATTAAATGTAAACTTGAATCTACGTTTTCAATTTTCTCAAAGCTAAAATTATTTGAACAATGAAAAAAAATCCGCGAGAGGCTTAATGAATAATTGATTATGTTTTAATGCAATGCCTTGGCTTAAAATGATGATTTTACACAAATAGCATGAAGTGATGACTTAACAAAAGTAAACTGCATATAGAATGTAATCTTTTGCTAAAATGTTTGCCATAGCATGTAAATGGAGCAACCTCTTATTTTTATACTCTAAAACAGATTTACCAGAGATATCCAGGGAGGAGTTTTGCCCCTACTCGGTTATTTACAGATGGCAACATTTTGTGAAAGATGCACTCAAACTGACAAAGAAACATACAAGCAAGACAAATGCTATTCACAAACAATGATGAAAACCTATTCAGAAACGTGTGTTTACATGGTGGAGACTTTTACAACATGAGATCTTGACTGGTATGATATCAGTATAATGTGATCAAAGCCACTAGTGAGAAGAATATGTAAGTAAAAGAAACTTTTGTGAACCATTTGTTTGAGAATTCTGAATAAATTAGCTTGGAAAGTAGCACAGACACAATCCAGTTGCGGGGGCTGACTGCAGGCTGAAAGCCAACGAGGCAACAACGTCACAACTGCTTTTGGAGGAATCCGAAAACAAAATTAAAGCTTCTCAGAGATTCTCCCAAAAACAATAGTTAAACAAAATACCTATTTACACGTTCACTAAGAAAAAAAATTATTTGTACAGTAGGAATGTGTCATATTCCTTTCTGCCTACTGTATCCCAGGTTGCGGGAAGCTCACTGGTGTCAGTAATCCCATCACTGTGCGTGCATCGGGGTCAAGGTTCGGCTCCTGGATGACGGACACAATGATACCCAGCTCAGACAACAGAGTAAGTTTTTCTCAATCTTTCCCTCCGTATTTTGGGTATTAAGAAGCACAGAAAACTAACCAAGTCAACTGAACTCTTATCAACTGCTCAATGAAAAAGAATATACCTCACAGCGTTGCTGCCATGGTATGTCAATGACTGATTGACTGCTTTGCCTGAGTAGGACTTCTTGTGAGCTCTAAAAGGAGGGACACAGAGAGCAATGGTTATGCAAAGCTTGGTCAGTGATGGATTGCATCTCTCTTCTTCCTCTTTGTCTGCCTCTGTCACTACAAACTCTGGCTGATAAATCACTTCGTCATCAGAGGGGAAATGGATGGGTTGTGGGGGCTAAAGTTTTCTCAATCACTCGAGTAATTACCAGGAGTGTTCTGAGAATCTCTGGACTCAGATGATATAGTAATGGCATCTGATGATTATGGATGCCATTCTGGTATATATGGGCAGAAAAGGTGGGATGAGGTGGAAAGAATAACAACCAAGGAAAGGAAGAGGAAGGAAAAGGAACAGGCAGGGCAGGGGGTGGGGGTGGGGGGGTGGGGGGGGGGGGGGGGGGGGTAGGGGCTAATGAAGTTAAATAGGAGATATGAGGGTGACCTTTCCACTGACTACAATAAATCCTAACAGTCTAAACAGCTACTGCAAGTAGAAAAGGTCAGTTTCTGTGAGTGAATGTGCTGCTCTTTTTCTTTAATCACCAGAATTGCTGAGATCATGGTAGACTCTTTAGATCAGTTTCTCTCTGGATTAATAGGCAGATGCGTCAACGTCTGTGGCAATTGTCATAATCAGATTTGAAATTTCTTTCCCAGGGGCCAACAAAAAAGGCGGGAAACTTTGTCTAAATTTGCCTGAGCTCAAGCCTTCAGTGCTGCTCGAAGGACTCATTTAGCAAGCACAGGAGAAACCCACTTTATTCTCTATAATCCTCCCTCCTCAAAAATAATTCAGCTGCTGTTCCATTCCACCTTAACTCCTCCCATACCCATCCTCTTTCCCTCCGTGCTACTGAAAAGAGCCCCCTCTCAACCTGAGAAGACGCCAAATGTAGGACAGGACGAAAAAAATAGTTGGAAGAGAATCCTAAAAAGTACTTCATTTTTGCAGAGCTCCCCATGATATGTTAAGAACAAAATAAATATTGTATCCAAGAAAAGATTAATTGAATCAATTAAAAGCCGAGCTGTGCTTCTGCGGAAGCACAGAAAATGATATGGGAGATGCAGCCAAAGAGGCCCAATGTCAGTCGAGAGATCCGCTGAGAGTGCTTCAGGAAAAAGAAAGGGTTGCTAAATGGATTGATTTTCTGTAAATGTGGACTGGAAAGGGCAGAGAGCACAAGCAGCGGTTGCCTGCAAAGCTCAAGCAACATCTTCACCCACACGCCAGAGAGATCAGTAGTACTGCATGTGTATGCACAGCTGTATGGAGGCTTAGACTCAACCTCAAACAGGCCGACTGCACTCATACACTTGTTTCTTGGAGTTTTGCCAGTATGAATAAAACACTATCATAAAGGGCATTCAATGGAGAGGTTCGTCTGGTGCAACGCAACAATAATCTCCGGCAAGCTCCAGCTCTTTTCATGAGCTTCTTTACTTTGACCTCTCTTTCCAGCAGAGATTGACTTTTGTTCTCTACTTCTTTCTTTTCTTTTCTTTTTTTTTACACAGGTGTGGTCCATGGACGGGTACTTCAAGGGCCGACGCGTCCTGGAGTACCGCACGATGAACGATTTCATGAAAGGCCAGAACTTTGTGCAACACCTGCTTCCGCACCCGTGGGCGGGCACGGGCCACGTGGTCTACAACGGCTCTCTTTACTACAACAAGTACCAGAGCAACATCATCATCAAGTACCATTTCCGGTCTCGAAGCGTGCTGGTGCAGCGCAGTCTGAGCGGAGCCGGCTACAACAACACGTTCCCGTACTCGTGGGGCGGGTGGTCTGACATTGACCTGATGGCGGATGAGAACGGCCTCTGGGCTGTGTACACCACCATCCCCAACGCTGGGAACATAGTCATCAGTCGCCTGGAGCCCCAGAGTCTGGAGGTGCTGCAGACCTGGGACACCGGCTTTCCTAAACGTAGTGCCGGGGAGTCTTTTATGATCTGCGGCACACTGTACGTCACCAATTCCCACCTTGCTGGCGCCAAGATCTACTTTGCCTACTACACCAACACATCAACCTATGAATATACAGACATCCCCTTCCACAATCAGTACTCCCACATCTCCATGATGGACTACAACCCCAGAGAGAGGGTTTTGTACACCTGGAACAACGGACACCAGGTTCTCTACAACGTCACACTCTTCCAGGTTATTAAGACTTCTGGGGACTGAGGGCCCAATGAAACGACCCACTCAAATAATGCTGTGATCATTGTTCAAAATGGACAAAGGAGCTGGGAGGACGTGGGTACATGATTTGGGAGGTGTGGGCTTGGGGCTTCAGTATGTGGGAATAGGCCTGTTTTTTTTTTTTTTTTTTAAAGAATTTAAATCTTCATTGAGTGCTATCAATCACGTTCTCAAAATACACTCCAATAGCAGGGTCGGTAAAGATATAGACTGAATGATTCTTCAAATATTTTTTTCTTTATGTGATGAGTAAGCATGGTTCTTTTTATTTGTGATGATAAAATAAACATTCTCTTTACCATTTATGATGTTGAATTTTCATTGTCGCTCTATGTGAAAATAAGACTCAGTATCTAAATGTCACAAAGAGATGTAACATTAATTTTGTATACGTCATTGCAATGGTAAATTTAATGGATGTTGTTTTATTTCTTTGGGGTACTGGGGTATGCAAGTACTTATTTTGGTACATTAATTAAAAGAGAGACACAAAAACAAGTACAACAACAACAAACATGGTTTAAGGGTTGAGTAGAAGCTATTTTGTCAGCTTACAATCTAAATTCCCGAGAAGCATATCATCTTAAATGACCATTTTCATTACACGAGTCCTGGGCGGCACTGACCTCTGCAGTAAAATCATAAAATGTTGTGGGGACAGTATATGAATGCCAACAGGATCATCTCTGGAGTCACCTGACTTCACATCTTTGAAAGAATTCCATCCGTTTAAAAAAATCCAGCTCAGAGCCCCCTCTGCATTTCTGGCTGTAAACTGTGTGCTTGTGTGGAAACGTGTTAAATTTAACAGGAGCAGCCACCTCTTTTCATTTCATTTTACCATGGTGATTGAAAGTGAAAGCACAACATCTGGTAAGAAGCACGGGTGTTGGTGTGAAGGTTTTGCAAAGAACACGAGGGATAACACACTAAGGTGTTTACAGCTGAGCAAAGATGTGACGCTTCACAGTTAGTGTTGCTTGTCAAGCTCAAATTTACTTTAATCTCATTAGTTTGTGTTTTTCCCTGGAGCTCTATTCAAAAAAAGATTTACCCTCCAATGTTCCGCACTAAGAAGAAAACATATACATACTTCATTTTCCTTGCGACAATAGCTATAACAATAAATAGTTTCAAAAAATGGCTGAGATGTCATTTCATGCTGTAATAATCAAGAAACGTAAATCCATTTTTAGTGGTACACATCTAGACCGAGTAATCGAGGTGGATTACACAGGTTCCCTGCACAAAGTCTCAATAAAACACAATACATTCATGAAAAAACATGCTCTACCAAAAATAGTAGAAAAACAATATAGGACTAAACACAATTCATATATTGGACCTCCCAGACTGTACACATTTTAATACACTTTGTTCATAATTTTCTTTCCTAAATTTTTCTTTTGGCCATTTCATCATTTCTTGTTGTATAGAGGACGGTTTGCCAAAAAGAGACGGCAGTCCACTGGGGCTTTCTATTATTCCTTTCATGTTTGAGGACCGTAAGGAAAGAGAAGGTCTCATTTATTTGTCCTTTGTAGCCATGGTGATCCTCTTCATCGTGGATGACCTTTCTGTCAATAAGAGCTGTGCTGGAGAGAAGCTCCATGACTGTATACACCGCAGCGGCTGACATTTAAAGCACAATACAAAACAAAATTATACAACATCATATTCAAATAGTGTTGTGTGATCTACATAGTGAAGACAGAAATATGTATTGTGATACTGGAATAGGAAAAGACAAATATTGGGGGAACTGATCAATAAAAAGCAGACATTTATTCCTAAAGGCTAAATATGCTCCTACTGTAAAATCAACATCCCTATTCTATACTTCCCTACTGGAATGTAGAGAAAATAAAAGATATAGAAAAAGAAGAAAATAAAAATATAGAACCATGAAAGCTACAGGCAAGAGCAGTAGAGCAAATCCTACACTATTTGATCAAGTAAATATAAAAACAATTCCAAAGGTTACTTAATGTAACAAGACATGCTGAATAGATATTTTTATATTTGGGTTGTTTTTTTCTAATAGGACTAAAGGTTACGTTTTTACCAGAACAAAAAGGCATTCAATGTTCTACATGGCTGGCTATAGCAAAGACCGCTTGAGAGGGTGTTACACTTCCCAGCCAAAAAACCATTCTCTTTAACTAACCGCAGCAAGAAAAGAGCTGACTGCACACAGATAATGCAGTGGCTGCTATCAAATAAATTGAAATTGGAAAAAGTCGTTCATCTGAAAAACATAAACATCTCTTCCACAGCAAGAATCCCAGTTTGGAACACATGCAACTACTGTAAATAGTTCTATTTAGTCCCACAACTGGTTACTGTTGTAAAATATTTCATCACTTTGAACACTTAAATTCCAGTGAAGAAGCTTTTGCTGCTATTTTGTTTGCTTATTACAGATCAATGATTTCCCACTTTTCAATCTTTTCCTTCACAAAGACTTAATTTTCGATAAAAACAATTTCAGATATTTAAGGTTGAATATCTGCTTGTGTTTGTCGTCTGCAACAAAACTGTTTACAGAAATCAAATATGAGGCAAACATTACTTTTGTAAGGTCCATTCACTGTGCCAGTTTCTGTTCAGAGCAGTAAGGAGCAGTAAATGCAACAACTAGCAGCTCTTCTTGAGTGTACCGGATAGTTTCCTTTAAAACATGAGTTATTTTAGATCAAGGCTGCGAAGCCTCTGGAGCAATGGCGAGTTTTCTTCATTTCTTAACCCTCTTTCCAATTTTCTTCTTTTAGTTTGTCTCTTCTCGTCTGCACCCATTTGTTTGTCTATAAAGATCGACCTTGTGTTTGTTTTTTTTCTTAGAAACTCTATCAAAAATAGTCAGTACCTGCACAAAAAAATATGTTCAAATAGATTGGCCGTCTGCTTTTGTCTGCAGGATGGCAACATTTGGCAAGTGGCAAAGTAAATGCTGTATGAAAAGATAATAATGATTAGGTTAAAGCCTTCATTTTAGTTTAAATTATATGGTCCAACCATTTGTTGAGTGTCTTCCATCAGTGACATACCAAACACATCTAAGTCATTTTATGTGGGTTTTCCAGAAATACAGCCCTGCATGATCAACTTTAAAACTGAGCGAAGCAAGGTAAGTGTGAAAAAACAAGAGACCTGTCCAAGATTAGAATTCGTCCACTTTAATCTATGGGAAACAAAATAGGGGAAGGATTTTGGGTAACACCAAGTTGTTTCTTTTTTATTCTTGCATTCAGAAGGGTAATTCAACCACTTCTGGTGGGTTTATCTCCTCTCTTCCCTTCTCCAGCTCTTCTATACACTGGATTTTAGTCAAAGAGCTTGATTTAGTGGGAGTGAGCATGAGCATGCATTTATAGACAGTGTTGAGCAGACTGAGTGCAGTTGGTGGCAAAGAACTGCTCTGATAGAGTGCATAAGTTAAGATTCATGGCCAGAAGCAAAAAATGCAGACACAACTCAAGATCTAAGTAAACCCAATTCCTACTTTAAATATGCCTCCATCATCTGGAAAAAGGTTTTGTTTGAATGGAAACAGTTTTTGTGCAAGTGGAACTGGTAATGAGATATTAGAGATAAGACAAAATAGATCTGCATTGTAATTTTATTGGGATACAAACTTGTTCGACAGATATCAAAGGCATTAGTAATATGAATAAGATACAATATGCATAGGCATGATGTACAAATAATCCTATATAAACAGTATGGAGCTGCAATACTGGGTGCATTTTGAATGATAACATCCCTAATTTTGTCTTTTTTCCAGCATCTTTCTCATTAATGGTGCCGTCAGCAGAAGCTTGGAACTAAGCCTCCTCTTCTTTAGATTGACAATAAACAAACTCAACTTTCTATCCCTTGAGGTGATGCAGTACTCTGAAATGGGCTTGGAACACTTGTTTCCTCATGATTAAACATAGCTTTTTCATGTTTTCATGGTTTAACTCAAAAGGGATGTCAAGGTGCTGTCATGGTGAGCCGAATTTACGGGTTAGCCGCAGAGAAGATAAATTTAGCTCCCTATTCAAATCATTTTGCTCATAAATAATTGCAGCTCTTTAGAGTGTGATTTGACTCCTCTTATCAATCCTTCTTTTATTTTTTTTAAAACTATACTTAAGTGCAGTTGAAGGAAACTGATAAAAAGCCACCAAGTGAATCCAGTAAATTGAAAGTCAGAGCCAAGTAACAAACTGATTAACATGATTCAAGTTCAATGGTGGAAAAATATTTGTAAGGCAAAACAAAAAGTTACTATATACTATATACTGTATATATAATTAATATATTTTCATCATTTGATGAACAAATCAAAGGACATTTCCATTTGTGAGGCCTATCAGTAATGGCAGGGATAGATAATTAACAGACTCAGTTACAACTAAACTCATATCAGTGTAGTCCACCAAATAATGGGATCTGTCTGTCTTTCCAAGAAAGAAGATTTGCAAATCTGTCAGCTCATTTCTTTCTGATCTCACCTATCTAATTAATAATTTTATTGCCAAGGAAATAAGATATTAAAAAGAGAGAGAAAGAAATAAAAAGAGAAAGCATCATTTACATCAAGACTGACATCACTCATCCGATATAGATGTACACTTTAGAGTGAGCACAGTGTCTGAACACATTCTCAAAGGATTTTTCTCTTCTGCTTTGTCCTTCCTACAAATGTGTAAAGCATAGGGTAAGCATGAGGAGCATTGTTTTGCTTAAAAATGCGTTAGTTGAAATCAAACATTTTTCAGAACCACATATTTTTCTGTTTGACCTTTAATACTGAGACATTTTTATCCTTTTATATTGTGTACCAGTTTTTTAGCAGGGAAAGGTGACGACAGAATTTCCTGCACCTATAACACATATAACACAACTGTAATTGATAAGGGATAGTTAAATCCGGATTTAGGTGGGCTATTCCAACATGAGGTTTCCAGCCATTAAAGACCAAAGTCACACAAACA